ACTAAGCATTGGTAATATTATAAATTCACCTGTCGGGTACAGCACGAATTCAATATCTTGCAGCTATCAATTAAAATTTGATAATGTGCAGCCCAATTTTTAACATCATTATCGATTGGATTCGAAGTTGTGTAATTTTCTGTGTGTGCATTTTCGATATCATCAAATGACTGTAATCGATTTCCACACATCACTATCGTCTTCTCAGCATCACAAACACTTGAGTTTACTAGTAGTATACAAACATTTATACTATTTATCAGTGTTATATATCTGTAGAATTCTGCATAATATCTTAACTCAAATAACACTGCACATATTTTAACAAAAGCATCAGTCCCTGCATTCTCGGGGATATAAACAGTTAAGAATATAGATATAACCGTCACTGTTAATGATGTTACGACGTAAATAATATACCACCTTGTGTCTTTCTCGAATGTATTTATAGAAATATGTTTATAGTGATTGTGTATTAAAATTAAATTATCGTGCAATAAAACAAAACTATTGCTATTTTTCACGGCTATCAATAAAATACTAAGCATATCTATCAAAATCCAGTTCGCTTTGATTATACTCATCAAGTTGATTTTGCCACTTTCCAGTGTTACTAAGATGCCGCAATAAATAACAGCAATTAAAATATCGAATGTTAGCCTTATACATATCAATATTTTCTTTTTTCGGCCAAATAAACAGTAATTTTTGTATACACCTATCAGGTTTTCCAAGTCAAGAAGTTTATTACAATTCATAATTTTATACGTGTCGTCCATTTAGGTGAAAGTAATAAAACGTTATGAAAATATTGCCGACGATTCTCGTTAAAGTAACAACTACAGGCAATTTATGTTTATGTGTGTATATTAATTATAATAAATGAAATGGGGTATATTTTCAGAGTGGCCTTTTTTCATATATATATATCGATGCAATTATCTACAACAAATTAACTTATCGATATATGTAAAATATTATGTAAAAATTGTCACCAAACTGATCGTACACGGTAACTGAAACATATTTTACGAGAAACTTACCTGCGCATTTCATTTCTGTAAATATGTGAAGGCCCAGTTAACGCTCAAAGTGACAAGAAACAAAAATATGAATTCGATCGATTAATAAAAAACAAATACACTTAATGAAAAATGCTTAGATTGCATTTTTTTTATTCTTGTATGTTCGTTGTTTATCACCAGCCTATTAATTTCCCTACTATTGAGGCATGTTCTTCCCTATAGATGGAATCGAATAGGGATAATGAGATATGACCCCTACCACGCAAGCTCAATTCGGATTAGTGGTTTTTAAAAACTGAATATACCGCCGACCAATGGCTGAACGTGATTTGGCTAATAACCTTTTTTAGCCTCCATTCTATCAGATGTTTGTCGTGTTATATTATTTGTATCCGGCATAGAGATAAATTACAAAAGGCACTGAAAGGAGATCGTCATAATATAATGTTAGTGATCACATATAAACGATATCGTTACTTTTGTAACTCACTTTAAAAAAAAGTTAAAACGGCTTACGAGAAATTTTAGCTCGCTAGTGCCAAAACAAATAAGGGTAGATGGAGTGCCATTAAATCTATAATTAACTGCACCAAAGCTGAACCCACTCCCATGGAATTAATTAAAAATATAAATAGCGCAGAAACGGACATCATGGCCGTTAACAATTACTTTTTAATATTGGTGAGCAACTAGCAGATTCGGTGAAAGGATCGCGAAGTCACAGCTCTTCTTATGACTTTGAAATTCCATACCAGTCTGACTCCATGGTTTTGATTCCTCCAGACGAGTCTGAAGTGCTAGGCCTCATCAATGCTCTTAAGAGTGATTGTGCCACTGGCTGGGATTCTATTCCTGCGAAATTACTCAAAATGGCAAAACATGTCTTAGTGCGTCCTCTTACAGTTCTTTTTGAATTATGCTTTACACAGGGTATCTTTCCATCTGTTTTTAAAAAAGCTCTTATTACACCCGTCTTTAAAGGAGGTGACCGAAGCTGTGTTTCAAACTATCGACCAATCTCTGTTTTAACATCACTTTCCAAATTGCTTGAAAGAGCACTTAATAATAGATTGGTAAACTTTTTGGAGCATAACAAAATATTATCAGACAATCAATATGGTTTTAGACAGAGTATAGGCACGGATGAAGCAGTAGGTCGAATGGTTGATCATATAGTGAAGCAACTAGATAGTAAAAAAAAGTGTATTGGCATATTTCTTGACCTTGCCAAAGCATTCGACACAGTTTCGATCCCCAAACTTGTGGAAAAGTTGACTCGCGTTGGTGTTAGGGGTCATGTACTCGGAATTTTTAAAGACTATTTAACCGGTCGATGTCAAAAAGTCAGGATTGACAAATACACTAGTGCAGAGGCCCTAATAGTGTACGGCGTTTCCCAAGGCAGTATTCTTGGCCCAAGCCTCTTCCTGGTATATATCAATGATTTATGTCAAATGACATTACGTAATGGTAAGATTTTTACCTACGCTGATGACACCGCCCTGATATTCCAGGGGGAGACTTGCAACAACGTTAAATTGGTCGCTGATATGGAGCTACATAAAATCTGTAACTGGCTTACTGATAATTATCTCACTCTCAATATAGCCAAATCTAAATACTTACAGTTCTCTATCGCAAAAATAACTCTGGATGATATAGATATGAAAGTTCATTCATGTGACCTATCACAGGGTGTGAATTGTTCATGCCTGGCAATTTCTAAAGTTACTAACATAAAATATCTAGGAGTTCAAATTGATGATAACTTAAAATTCAAATTACATCTCGATCTTATTGCTACTCGTACGAGGAAACTAATTTGGATTTTTAAAAGACTCAGGCTTGTGGCTGATTTCGAACTTTTACGATCTGTTTACTATGCTTTGGCTCAGTCTCTTCTTTCTTATTGTATTAGGGTATGGGGTGGCACATGCAAAACCTATTTGATACACTTAGAAAGAGCACAGAGATCACTCTTAAAAACTATGACCTTCAGCCCTTATAGGCATCCGACTAGTTTACTTTACAAAAACTGTCAAGTGTTAACTGTCAGACAATTGTACGTACAACAAATGATACACAGGCAACACAAAGTCACACCATATGATAAAGCTACTTATAACAGTAAACGCATAATTACTAACATATGCTCACCTCTTAGATGTCGGACGACCTTCGCAAGGCGTCAGCAAGCGAGCATGTTAATTTTATTATATAATAAAATAAATAAAATAATCAATATACACCCTCTTTCAACACGTGATGCTAAATACAAGTTAAAAAATTGGCTATTATCTCTTGATTATAATGATACAGAAACATTACTCAACTAACAGAATTGATAGAGGGTGAGCTATTTCCTTTATCGCCCTCAAATCAGACCGTCAATATTAAAGATTTTCTCAATATAATAACATAATAAATTTTTATACACACAAACACACACATACTCACTCACTCACTCACACACACACACACACACACACACACACACACACACACACACACACACACACACACACACACACACACACCATTGTTTTTTTGTTCCCATAATTTTACTTCTCTTTTTACTTTATTTTATTTTTCTTTGTTTTCTTGTAATGGTTCATAATTTATAACACGTGGATTGATATGTTCTCTAAGATGGTAGAGAAAACTGGTGTCTGAAACTCAGGTTTTATATACCTACCTCAGATGTCAGGGTGCTCATAAAATGTATCCTTATCTCTTTGTGAAAATAAAGAATTATTATTATTATTATTTTTTCGACTTTCACATGTTTTTTTTTAATCATCATCAAGCCTTTTACTACATACATTTTATAAGCATATGATAAGTAAAGAGCCTAAATCGTCTTACAATCCTAATTTGTGACCGTTGTTAAATTCAGTCATTAGTACAAAATAAACATTTAAATTTAAAATAATTCACAAATAACTAGAAACTGGTAAATAAATTGTTGGCTCAGTGTTTGATGCATTTTGTCCGTGATGCGGAAGTAAAGCAGTTTTCGCTAGGGCCGGACAAACTGTAGATGATCAAATAATTTCGAGCTCCTCCATGCTTCGAAATTCAATTCATTTGCCAAAACCCTCGTACGTCGCCATTGCAGGAGCTCAGGACTTCCTTTTTCTTTAAGGAAGGTTAAGAAGAATGGGCCATGACCCTCCACGCTGACTCAATGCGGATTGGAGATCAACGACTACAAATACAGCCAGGATCAACGGCTTAATAAGCCTTCCGAAATACGGAGTAGCTCGAGATAATAATTTTTTGGTCACCCATCCCGTGACCGACCCTTGTGAAAGTTGTTTAACAACAACGTTCACAGACTGAAACGCTTATTTACTTCGCCACCGAGCTTTTAATACGAGCAACGATCCAGAAGAACAAACGCCTATCTCTTTAGCTATAACTCTAGCCATTGCTATAAAAAACGTTTTATTGACTTTATCTATATTAATTTCATTTTATTTCTTTATAAGGATATGTTTATTGTATATACTAATATTATAAAGAGCAATACTTGACCGATTTTAATAATTCTTCCATCTATTGGTGGCTAAATCATAAAAGATTGACATATGCTATAATTTACGCGTGCGAAATCGCGGGACAAAGCTAGTTTCTTATATATTTAATTCAAAAGCTTCGTTTTATTGCATATTAACATCGGGCCGCTATTTAAGGTTAGCTCTAGGGCAGGTCTGTCCAACATACGACGCCCGGGCCACCATTCGGCCCGTATAGGTCCTTCATCCGGCCTGCCATCTCTTAGAATCTTTCAGAACTAATACATACGTCAAAATTACCACGTGACTCCACTACAGAGGGCGCAATTTTACCTGGAATTTTGTAGAAACATCTAGTACAGTGGAGAACATTCTTGAAACTACTAGAATGCTCTCTCAGTTTCACTATATAAGCACACAGTTTGTTAGGGACTGCAAGCCAGAGTTATAAGATAACGATCAGATCGATACAAGCGATGCATAAGCGAGGAAGAAAGTGAATCTGAAAAGTGTTTTGCGTTAAATAAGTTTGTGAATTAGTCATGTTTTTAATAAAGAAACCTCTGTTTATTTTATAGCCTTTGATACTACATACATTATTTCGTGAATTAATGGTACTTAGATGACCTTCATTACATTAAAATATTGAAAAGGAATTTTTTATTATGTTTAATTATGATGTTTTTCTTTAGTTATAACTTATGAGTGTGGGTACGTTGCTTGAAAATACAAATAACGTGCAGTCTCTAAAGTTGAGAATTTTAACTATTGATCAATGTTTATCATAAGTAGGAACTATTACTACGGCTAATTTATTTTCAGCTTTAGTTGAGTACCTGCGCTACATAATTTCCTTCTTCATCATCAGAAATAGAACGTAAAGTTGATGCAGAATGTCGAATGTTTAAAAATACTTGGACTGATGCTTTTTTTGTCATAAAACAAAATGAAATCATACTCTCCCTCATATGTTATGAAAAAATATCGGTTTGCAAGGAATACAATATAAAGCGCCATTATTCTACAAATATGGTGAATGCAAAGATCAAATTCGAATTAATCGCGTACATTCGTAAAAAAAGATATGACCGGTCAACAGCTATGTTTAAAATACCGAAAGATTATTCCGAAACGGCTACAAATATTAGTTTCATGATAGAAGAAGTTATTGTCAAGCGAAGCAAGCCTCTATCAGATGGAGACTTTTGACCCCTGTTTTGCTCGATCGCTCTTTCTATAGCGTGAGTGTTGGAGCACCGGAGGTCATATCGTACATGTTTCCTGATCTCCTGATTTTGAACACGTTTTCCTGACGAAGTGACAGGTGGGTTTTCACGTCGTTCCTTCATTAGCCCCAAAGTTCTATCCGAGAGCTTAGACTTCCTACCCTTACGCTGCATGTTACAAAATTTCGTACCTTCTACTCTGAGTATTCGAACCACATTGTCAAGGTTCTCGTCAACGTCAATTGTGGTTTCCATGGCAGCGAATCGGTTCTCAAGATTTGACTGGAACGTTTCAGATTCCATCATGGTTTGGAGTGGAGTAGGTCGAAGCCTGGCCTTCATTAAGCGGACACGTTGAGCTTTGAAGTCGATATTCAGAGAGCCTCGGACAAGTCGGTGATCGCTGCCGGTATTAAACCTATTGATCACGGAGACATCTCTGAATACGTGTTTTTTGTCCGTTATGACGAAGTCGATCTCATTTTTTGTCACATTGTCGGCGCTTTGCCACGTCCACTTCCTTTGGGGCTGTTTCTTAAAGAACGAGTTCATAAGGAAGAGCCCCTCCCGTTCGAGGAAGTTAACGAGCATTTGCCCCCTATCATTCCTGCTTCCAAATCCATGGGATCCTACTACCGATTCGCCGCAATTTTGTACTCCCACTTTAGCGTTAAAGTCCCCCATAACAACGCTGTAGTGGGTCTTAGTAGTGAAGTGGAGTGCCCTCGATATATCATCGTATATATTCTCCACTTCATCGTCCGAGTGTGTCGAGGTCGGTGCGTACACTTGAACAACCTTGAGGCTATACCTCTCAGTGAGCTTTACAATCAGGTACGCTACCCTGTTCGATACACTGGAAATTTCTACAACGTTGTCAGAAAGGGACTTATTGACAAGAAACCTAACGCCACCTTGGGATTGTTGGTCTCTCTCGCGGAAGTACATTAGGTGGCCTGATTCGAGGGTTATGGTGTCCTCCCCCTCTCTTCGGACTTCACACAATCCTAATATGTGCCACCTTATCTTTCCAAGCTCCACCTCAAGTTGCGCCAGATGCGAGTCAAGCCGTAGCGTGCGTCCGTTGTACGTCACCAGGGTCAGTCGGTTGTGGTGGCCTCCCGTAGCCCGGAGATTCTTAGCACCCCCTGCCTCGCCGTTACCATGGTCGCCACCATGACCAGGAATAGCGAGGCCGCCGGGAACTAGGGGCCGTGGCCTTTTGTGCTTTCGCATTTGGGGGATATGCCCATAATCGCCACGCTGGGCAAGCGGATTGGCGATCGCAGTATGGTCCGGTTCTGTGGCCCGCACAAAAAGACGCTGCTGCCCATCTCTTTGAGTTAAATTTCCCTTAGTCGCCTCTTACGACACCCACGGGATGAAAAGGGGTAGTACAATTCTATACCGGTACTACACGGTTAACTCTGGCATCCGCAAACATGAGTGATGCACTACAGAATCGCGGATCCCCCAACAGCATCCTGAACCCATTATTATACTGAACGCGCAAAGCATTGTATGACTTTCGCTTGTACTTGACCCATACTCTGCACGAGTAAGACGACTAGCAGTATGCTTTAAATAAAGTTGCTTTGACTTCTTCATTACATCGCGCAAATCTACGCGCCAGAATGTTACACTTGACATCCAACGCGCTGCGCTCCCTTTCTATGTCTGAATCATCTGACAGGTCTTCAGTGACCCAGTGACCCAGGAACTTAAAACGCGAGACTCTACTAAATAACACACCATTTAAATTAAAGAGCTTTGGTGAAGTTATTCCCCCTTGCCTCACTCCACACTTCAACCCATACAAATCTGACGTCGAGTCGGACCATCTTACATAATTTGTTTGATTTTCATACCAATATCTAAACACGTTAACAAGATCTGGTGGCATAGTCGTATCGTGGGCCATATTGGACCATAAATGGTCATAGGATACCTGGTCGAATGCCTTCGATAAATCTAAGAAACATATAGGTGTATTTCTACTAGTATAATAACTGACCGTGTGTTTTAAACAAAGAATTACGCTTTCAGTGGATAACTTAAATCGAAACCCGAACCAAGCTAACGGTCCAGCAGTGAATCCAAAACTTTGCTAATACTGTTGCTAGTGAGATATATCGATAGTTGTTAATATAGGAGGCATCCCCTGTTTTGTTCTTGACTAATGGTACTACAATAGTTTTCATCAAGTCATTAGGCAAGTAACAATGTGCAATACATAAATTAAAAAGCATTACGAGCACCCTCGGTAGGTGAATACCCGCATACTTCAGATGCGAAGAGTAACCGAAGACTATACCGTTATCGAGGAATTGCTAGATTTGCGTTAGAAAATCTTTGCAGCTTAACAACAGATGGTGCGATGCAATGACAGGAACAAGAAATGGCTTTGTGGCTTTAATACGTTATATATAGCGTCATACATACATTCATACAGCAACAATGTATTGCACAGGCCTGCGCTAGGGTTACCCTATAAAAAATATATTAATTGACGGTTTCCGAGAGGAGATAGCTATTACGCGATAATGCGATAGTTTATATATACAAATTTTGAATGCATAAAATTTTAAAATAAATAAACAAAAAATTGTATTTCAATTTATTCTATTCTACTTATTTTTAGAGCAATAGAATTCATCAATTACAAAATATTCATTTGTCAATGATGGTTATCGCTCCTGTTATTTATTATCGTTACAGAAAAAAAATATTATGACTTCCGTTATCATGTAGGGAAGTAATAAAAGGATAATATATAAAACGAAAAGAAAGACATTTGTCAATCATTTATTATCAACGCTTCTGAAGGCCTACTCTGTTTCTACGAAAACGTAAGTTCGTCTATTTTCGAAACCCTAATACGACTCTAAAAAAACACATTTTTCGATAATTAATAATGAAACGGAGGTAGGACCCTGACACTGCTTCTGATGCACAGCTGATAATATTGACGCATATGATTTTAAAAAAAATGTAAGAACAATTGGAGTTTTTGTAATTTTCGTACGTAGACAAACAGGTCTGTCATCATACATGAATATATAATAACTGTGAAATTATGACATGTAGCACTTTCCACAAGCAGTCAATATTTGCAAGACCTGCTGTGTGTACAACACCTATACATAAATTCATATATCAATAAATCTAGCTATGTTCTACTCTACACGTTTCGCTCCTCCACAGAGTGTAGGAGAGAGAGGAGAGCATGTGAGCCCAGATGTGCATTTGCTAGGTAATTAAAACTTTTTTCCCTACCCACTCTGGCGTGACATCATCAAACTTTATAGCCACAGATTATATTTGACATATTTCACAGTCACATACACGTAAGGTAACTTAGTTGTACCTAAGTTTAACTACATTTTTGTTATAAGATGCTAATCCTGAAACACGTACTTTTAATTTGTGGAAAAAAGTGTATCTACTTCTGTTATGTTCCGATCTCTATAGTGAAGTAAAATTTTATGGAAAATCTTCCAAGTTCCATCCCCTAGTTTAAGGAGAATGGGAGTTAAAAGATTTTTTCTGTTGTCTATGTACTAATGGTAACTTATAATCATGTAAAACAAGTATAATGTGTGTTGTAACAAAATTTCCGGAAAATAGAAAACGATAAAAGAAATTAAAGAAACGTGAGCCGGATTAGTTAATATATTAACGACACTCGTGCTGCGCGTCCTGTGACAAAAAGTCAAGAAAACAAAAAGTGCGAAAATCAATGCCATTGAAACTTTAAATTATGTATAATGTGTTATGCTATGAGTGTCACTCGCAAATCGCAGCCAATAAAATACAAAATAAAATATAGACTTCAAGTTTTAAAATGAAAGACTTTGGTGTTTTGGTTTTTAAAAAAAAAACTGTGAAGATTTAATATTATCAGCATTTTATATTATTAGTATAAATAGTGTAACTTTCTCTCATTGGTTGGCTATTTGTGAAAACTTGTTAATGGCTTTGTATAATAGTAGCTCGTAGTTAATTACTTGTATGATAGCTGTAAGTTTTCCAAATAAAATAACTAAATAATAAGTTCACCATTGACATCATTTCTCGAGAATTTTGTTTATCTTGTTTAGTTCAAACGCAAGTTACGAGGCGTTCGAAAAACATTAAAGCGGTGGCCCCTGATTTGCACAAGGAGAACAAAACGAATTATCACTCTTATCGTAGCAAAAAATACGTTGACCAAAAGCAAACTTATTTATATTCAATATTCCACTCAACACAATAGGTACTATGGTTCAAATATACACTCAATGATATTAATCATAAATTCAATCGAGGACATCACAGGAGCACATGATAGAATTGTAGTAGTATGATAACATGAGTGATGATGATGGATAGCGTGGTTGGCAACAGTGGCATCGACAATGGTATCGTGCTGAGTAAATATGCTCGTACGAGCTCCTGGTTCACAATGCGTACCAGATTACGTACACTAGCATCTCCAGAGTATCACGGTCTAAAAATTAAACAAAATAAAAATATGTAGTCTAACTAATAATTATAACATTCAAAAGAACGATCGATTACGTTAAGACGTATATGTATTCTTTCAGATTATTTATCATAAATTAGACAAAAATCGATAAAAAATTATAAAGGCCCCATTTTAAACCACTTGTTGTGGCAGCACTTTGAGCGTGTCACTTACATTGCGAAGCTACCTAATATATATATAGGAATAAATTAAAACCACTGCGAAGATTTTGTGAAAATAAACTATAAATAATATAAACAAACACGTATTTTTTATCTTGATATGTTCTAATACTAAAAAATAATGTTATCGCTTACCAAAGAACGAGACTTTAAATTTAAATTTATGGACACCGCACGCCGTGCGTCAGCTGAGCGCGCGCTCGACACCGTAGGTGTGTAGGTATCTATCTACGCGGGTCACTGACCGCTCATTTTGTTAGATTCGAACTAGAATTTATGCCATGATCTGAGGTGATTTGTAAGAGTATTTCCAATTTTCCTTTCATGTTCGTTGGTGGTTTGGTTCGCACATTAGGGACCGCGGGGTTACGGATCCCAAAGGCTCGCATACGAGGTATGCTCT